TGCACGTCGAACGGGCTTGCGCCTCGGAGTTGCAGAGGAATAGTAGATCGTCCACGTATGGTATTACGCGCACTCCGCGCGCGTGCCATTTCTTGGCTAGTTGCTTAATAAGCTGGGTGAAGACGAACGGGGCTGTTGCCAGGCCGAAAGGTAAGGATGTGAAGCAATAGAACTTTCCACCCAATTGAAAGCCTAAAAACTTCCAGCACGATGGGTGGATTTTGATGTGGTGGTAGCCTGACTTGAGATCGATTGTGAACATCCAGTCGATTGGGCGAATGATCTCCGCGACCCGACTCAAGCCCTCGTACTTGAACTTGGGAACTTGGAGGTGAGCGTTGACCTTCCGCAGGTCAAGGATGAGCCGACATTTGTCACGTTGCTCCACAACGTTGAGCGGGCTGATGCACGTAAGTGCGGCTTCCGACGAGGCATTTATCGCGGCGCCTGACGCGATGAGGTCGCTGACAGCGTCTTGGGTAAATGCCATGTGTGCTTGAACCCCTGCGTGATTGGGAGCTTCGAAGGGGAGAGGCTCCACGCCCTTCCATGGTAGCCAGCACCCTTTGGCAATGATGGAAAGGATAAGACTGCTGTCGCACCATGATAGCCACCAGTGGAGGCTGTTGCGCAATCGCATTCGCATGATGGACACCATGTTGTCCGTTATTGCGTGCTCGTATGGGTCCCAGTGAGCACTCTGCCACTCGCCTTCCACTTCTGCAATTGGTGGGCAACCGAGGTTGTGGGGGGGGGGAACGAGGACCAAGGTCGATTAGACGCGAGATTTATCGAGACGCTTTGCGGGGCAAACTATGTCGCTCGCCTGTCACCGCCTTCGCGCCTCCCCGCACCCCCAGTTTTTTTTTTTTTTTTTGAACACTTCCCTTGACCACTCGTCAGCCGTGACGCCCTTGCAGGGGTTTTTGTGTGTGTGTGTATGTGTGTGTGTGTGTATTAGTGTTTTTTTTTTAGATTGCCTTACAACGAGATCGGCGCATGTGCGTCACTTGGTCCCACAACCTTGTTCATCACGATGTCTTCGTGGCTTCTCTCTCTCTCTCTCTCTCTCTCTCTCTCTCTCTCTCTCTCTCTCTCTCTCTCTCTCTCTCTCTCTCTCTCTCTCTCTCTCTCTCTCACACACACACACACACACACACACACTCTCTCTCTCTCTCTCTCACTCTCTCTCTCTCTCTCTCTCACTCTCTCTCTCTCTCTCTCTCTCTAATGGTCCGTGTATTGATATAGGAAAAGCTACAAACATGCAAAGTATGGTAGCTAGGACTGAAAACAACAAACAAACCAGAAACTAAACACACACAACTGCCTTTCTACACCTCCATAAGGGGCTCTATCACAGCACAACAGTCTCCAAGATGAAGCTCGGACTGCACCCCTCCCACGGGGGGATTTTCAGCTACTGCCGCCTGACTCGACTTAATGAGGTAACCCACTGACTGTGCTCTTTGCAGAGCCACGGACCACCGCTGCCGGAAGAGATGGAGGAACCTAGCTGCATGAAAGGAGTGAGGTTGGGCGTTGAAGTGATGCCTAGCAGCTGTGTCCGCCAGTAGCTTCAAAAATTCCGGGACCTCTGCACAAGGGCACCCATAGGTATCTACCGCCAGCGGGAAGAAGCCAACCATGTCTGGCCGGTTAGCATAGTGTCTCTTTTTCTTGTCTGCCATCTCTCTTGCCGCCCATCCTCTTCCCTTGGTTGCATTCGGGTCCCTGGTGCTGATGGGGTCGGTGATGGTGACATCACAGATGTACACCACCCCTGAGCTCCTGTCTCACATAGTGATATCCGCAGTCTGGTCCTCGATTGGGCAGTAGGCTGCAGATTCCCCATGGACAATGAAACCCGCGTCCTGTGCCATAGTGATGCAGGCGTTCCGGAGCTCGTTATGGGTGTTAATCCTGTGCTTGCCCGTGCCGCAACGAAAAAGATGGTTTGGCAACCGAGGGTCGGTGATCGCTGTGTGGTCCGAGCAGTCGCACCTGGCGGGCGTAGAGAAAGGTAGGCCTAGGCGAAAACGGACATCATTGGAGAAATGCTCTGGCGCGACGCGGCGGGTGTTTTCAATCGGAAGAGCCGTCAGCCAGTCTCCGGTGCCATAGCCGGTAAGGGAGAACATTCGCTGGGTGTGCCCAGATAGCGGGTTGAGGCTCATCCGCCGGGTCTCCTGAACTTGTATCGCATATCTCCTCCCGTGGACTTTCACTGCGAGGGCGTGTTGCAGCTTCACGCCCTTAGGTTCTAGTCTCTCTGCTTCTAGGATCTCACGGGCGTCCGCCGGTAGAGCCCTCTCACAAGCCGACAGCCACGCGTGGAGGGGTGTGCTAGTGTCTCGTGGTAGTAACATGAAGTTCTTGACCGTTGTCTGGATGTCGTCAGGTTCTAAGGGGAGCGAGCAGAGGAGTAGGGCTGCCTGAGTGAAGCTTGCGAGGAAGCCATATATTCCTTCGACCGTGGGGTCGGTGAGGCCGATCCCACCTAGAGAGGGGGGTAGTGTGGACTGTTCCCAGACCCGGTTTTGCTCAGTAGCACTTGTTGGATAGCGGATACCACATGAGGCTAAAAGGGTGGCAAGAAGGCCCCGTCCCCACTGCGACCAGCTGCCGTCGGGGAGGAGGTTGAGCGGTGTGGTCCGCGTAAGGTAGGCTACGCGGCGAGAGATGCAGCGCGTGAGGAGTAGCGAGGAGGTCTGTGGGTCCATCCGTTCGAGCAGTGGGAGCGGTTTCGCCATCGCCGTGAGCTGTTCCTTAATGAAAGAGGCTGCACCGTCCGTCGTTCCTATGAAACTGCCTAAGAGCCGAATGCCGTCACCGGAAAAGGGAACTCCTAGTGGTAGTTGTACCGAGCTGCCTGGGCGGGTTCTACTCCATGCGGCACACTTTTCGGGATTATGTCGGAGGCCTACTAACTCGAGCTGTCCGGTAAAATGAGCGAAAGCTTCGGTTGTCTCGGCGGCGGCACCTAGGAACGTGACATCGTCGGCGTAGGCTAAGCAGAGCACGCGGGGGTAGGCGTCAACCGTCGCACGTAAGGCTGGGTGTATTCCTGCCGCGAACAGCAGGGGGCCTAAGGGGTCTCCCTGGCGGACACCTCGTTCGCTTGCCAAGGGTGCGCTGTTGAAACCGGCATCGAGGTATAGTAGCGACGGGTTGCCATATGTGAGTTGAACCAGCGGCAGTAATGGTTGTAACGCATCGTCCTGTAGAGCTGCTACTATTGCCTGTCGCGAGATACTGTTGAAAGCGTTGGATAGGTCGGTTTGTAGTATCAATGTGTCAGGTCGGGCGTCAATGAAAGCCCGTACGGTGTGGATGATTGCCTCTGCTCCACTTGGGACTGCCACCCCGAATTGCAGCGGTAGGAAAAACTCCCGTGCTGCTTCTCCTATTACTGACAAGGCGGCCTTTGCTGCCAGGCGGGTCAAACATTCGCCTATTGCGATTGGTCGGGCCCCGCCTTCCGGCTTGGCCAGCGCAATTAGGCGGGATGAAGTGAGCAGGTCTGCTATAGGCTGGGGCAGTTTACCCCCCATCATGGTGTTAACCAAGGCATGAAGATGGGTGCAGACCGATGCGTTCGTGATTGCCGCATCGCGAAGGTGTTCAAAAGTGGTGCCAGATGGCCCTGCACCCACTCCGTTCTCGCATCGGCTCAGCAGCTTGTGGAAGTCAGCGTATCGGATTGAGAGGCTTCGGGGATCGTCGTGTTGGGGCCACGTCAGCGGCTCGGGTCCCGCTTGTGGGTGTTTCTGTCGGAGTTCATCCAGAATCCCAGGACAGGGCGTGCAGACTGGAGTTGACTCCAGTGCCAACACCGCTCTGCGTAGACTCCCGCGCTTCGCTAGTCCCTCCGCTCTGCTGATGACACCTGTGTCATCGGGTTGGTGTCGTGGCGGTGCTGGGTTATTGACTGCTTCGGTTGCTTCAGTGTACAGCTGATCCCATTCGCCACGTTGGAACGACCGGAGTCGCGCTTTGATTTTCGGCCAATCTGGGTGTTTTGGCGAAGTCTGACGAAGAGTGAGACGCGGGAGAAAAAGGAGCAGGCGCCAGCCTGCGATAGAGCCCGGGTTACGTGATAGATGTAGGAGTGGTGTCAGCAGGCATAGCGAAAAAAGCTGACACAGGTTTGGCGGCAATCTGCGGGCTAGCGAGGGTTGGCGACTATCGCAGAGCGGGGCAATATCCCAATTCGCAAGTGGGGCGAACCGGTCATGGTGTGTCGCCAGCTCCTCTGGCGAGTAGTAGCGCAGATGTGGGACCACGAGCGTCACGCTGGCCTGGCGCCTCGCGGTCCGATTTGTGCGGCTGTGGCTCGGGGAGGGGGTTGGAGATTGAATTGGATTTCTGGCCGTATGATCGCCATCGTGTGGCTCACCCTCAGCTCGATGAGATTCCTCTGCACTCCGCTGTTCCGTTCGACTTCTGCTCGCTGCCTCTTCCCTTTCCTGAGTTCCATCTTCCTCTTCACTAGTACTACTGAGGACATCCGTCTCCTCCCTATAAGAGGGGTCGCTGCGCTCCTCCTGGTCAATATTTTCGACTATCGTTCTTAAAGCCTGTCGTCCCGCAACCTGGAAAGCATTCTCCGGTCCACCGCCCGCACGGCTAGCTGCTCCTCCCCCGTGGCCTCTACCCCGTCCTCTCCGCGATGGTGATCGAAGGCTGGCTTGAGCCAGAGCGCGTTGTCGTTGCGTCTGCGGGGTCCGGTAGGTCGCCGGCAGTGTCTGGCTCGGTGACTGCCTAGAAGAAGCCGCCACTGCCGTTAGCACCGAAACCCCCTCCCTCCGTGCTGGAGGCCCCGAATCCACCAGAGCCGGCTCCACCTTCCGCAGAGCCTCATCTCCCCGCTGCGGCCGCTCCTCACGCGCACGCTCCTGCGGGGCCTGCTCCCGTTGCCCCTGTTGCTCCTGTTGCTCCCGTTCAGTCTCCGGAGGGGGTTGTCGTTGTTGATGCCCACCTGGGCGCCCCGGTCCTCGATGCGCCGTATGTCTCTGTCGCCCTGCCTGCACCGGTTGTTGCGGTCGGTTCGTCGCCGCACGCGGTGTCCGCCACCACTGGCGGCCCGGGGGAGGTGGGGGGGGGGCGGTGCGTCGGTTCCCGTCCTACCGATTGCGGCGGCATCGGTGCCGTCCCCGGACGTCCTGGCGGTTCCCGATCCCGCGCCGCACGCTGCTGCTCCCCTGGCTCAGCGTCAGCCGTCTCCGGGCCGCCGGCAGCATCGGCCTCACTCTCCTGCGCCCCGTGACGAGCGGGAGACGACGCGGCGGCAACATGATTCTCCTCGGCGGCGTGGGTCCCAGGCAAACTGGGCTGCGTCCCGTGGCGGTCGCGGTGGCTGGTGGGGGGGGCGTGGTCGTGGTGGCGGCTGGGCGTATGATCAGCCAGTAACGATGGCTGATCTACAGCGCGTTGTTTCTGATGCGATGCGGCTGGAGCGAAACGGGCAGGCGAGCCAGAGCAACTCGACGCGCGTCGCTCCAGCACATGCGTCCCTTCCTCAGTCTGCGCCCAATGAGCCTGCACCTCCTTTTCCACAGTCAGCCGTTCCCCCTCCCCCAGCTCCCTCTGCATCTGCCGTTGCTCATGGGAACCGGATGCGCCTGCCGTGGGTTCCTCCTGTGGCGGGTATGGAGTTTGTGACTGCGGCTGGAGGACCGGTGACGGGGCAGTATCCCTCCCTACTGCCTGTTGCTCCTGCTCCTCCGGCTGCATCAGTGCCAGTGCAATCACAGGTGGGGCCCTCTCCGTCAGCTGTGGTGCCGGAGGCGTCGCTGGGGCAGCTATGGCGCCTCGCTGAGGGTCTGCGGGCAGTGCACCTGATTCAGGTGTATGGTCACGCGGCTCTCTCCCAGGGTGTTCATCTGGACCCTGGCCCCCGGGACGAGTGCCTGGATGCCGCGGATCGACTGGCCGAGCTCCTGGCGCCCGTGTTGGCTGCGCCCGCGCGGGGTGGAGTTGCGGGCGTTGGGCAGCTGGGGATGGCAGTCCGTGGTTTGCGCCGGTTTTTGCGAGCGGGCTCTGCCGTCGACTTGATCGGCGCAACGACAGTGGTGGTGCGCGAGCTTCATCGTTCTCTGACGGGTCTTCTCGCTGTCCTTGACGCGGATCAGATGTAGGATCTCCTCGTGCGTGTTCCATGTTGTTGCTAGTAGATAGGACCCCCTGCCATGACTGTACGCCTGTGCGTATTATTGCATCTGCCTGCGATGTGCTTGTCGTTCCCTCGCGCGCGGCCGAACTGAATAATGAGGCTCTAGGACAAGGTCCTAGGGCCTTTATACTAGGCTGGAGAGGGCTGGAGAGGCTAAGGACTAGGGCCTCTCTCTCTCTCTCTCTCTCTCTCTCTCTCTCTCTCTCTCTCTCTCTCTCTCTCTCTCTGTCTCTCTCTCTCTCTCTCTCCCCTCTCTCTCCCGCTCGGTTAGGAGAGCAAATGAACACAGAACTGAATAATGTCTTCGTGGCTTCTCTCTCTCTCTCTCTCTCTCTCTCTCTCTCTCTCTCACACACACACACACACACACACACACACACTCTCTCTCTCTCTCACTCTCTCACTTCTCTCTCTCTCTCTCACTCTCTCTCTCTCTCTCTATCTCTCTCTCTCTCTCTCTCTCTCTCTCTCTCTCTCTCTCTAATGGTCCGTGTATTGATATAGGAAAAGCTACAAACATGCAAAGTATAGTAGCTAGGACTGAAAACAACAAACAAACCAGAAACTAAACACACACAACTGCCTTTCTACACCTCCATAAGGGGCTCTATCACAGCACAACAGTCTCCAAGATGAAGCTCGGACTGCACCCCTCCCACGGGGGGATTTTCAGCTACTGCCGCCTGACTCGACTTAATGAGGTAACCCACTGACTGTGCTCTTTGCAGAGCCACGGACCACCGCTGCCGGAAGAGATGGAGGAACCTAGCTGCATGAAAGGAGTGAGGTTGGGCGTTGAAGTGACGCCTAGCAGCTGTGTCCGCCAATAGCTTCAAAAATTCCGGGACCTCTGCACAAGGGCACCCATAGGTATCTACCGCCAGCGGGAAGAAGCCAACCGTGTCTGGCCGGTTAGCATAGTGTCTCTTTTTCTTGTCTGCCATCTCTCTTGCCGCCCATCCTCTTCCCTTGGTTGCATTCGGGTCCCTGGTGCTGATGGGGTCGGTGATGGTGACATCACAGATGTACACCGCCCCTGAGCTCCTGTCTCGCATAGTGATATCCGCAGTCTGGTCCTCGATTGGGCAGTAGGCTGCAGATTCCCCATGGACAATGAAACCCGCGTCCTGTGCCATAGTGATGCAGGCGTCCTGGAGCTCATTATGGGTGTTAATCCTGTGCTTGCCCGTGCCGCAGCGAAAAAGATGGTTTGGCAGCCGAGGGTCGGTGATCGCTGTGTGGTCCGAGCAGTCGCACCTGGCGGGCGTAGAGAAAGCTAGACCTAGGTGAAAACGAACAGCATTGGAGAAATGCTCTGGCGCGACGCGGCGGGTGTTTTCAATCGGAAGAGCCGTCAGCCAGTCTCCGGTGCCATAGTCGGTAAGGGAGAACATGCGCTGGGTGTGCCTAGATAGCGGGTTGAGGCTCATCCGCCGGGTCTCCTGAACTTGTATCGCATATCTCCTCCCGTGGACTTTCACTGCGAGGGCATGTTGCAGCTTCACGCCCTTAGGTTCTAGTCTCTCTGCTTCTAGGATCTCACGGGCGTCCGCCGGTAGAGCCCTCTCACAAGCCGACAGCCACGCGTGGAGGGGTGTGCTAGTGTCTCGTGGTAGTAACATGAAGTTCTTGACCGTTGTCTGGATGTCGTCAGGTTCTAAGGGGAGCGAGAAGAGGAGTAGGGCTGCCTGAGTGAAGCTTGCGAGGAAGCCATATATTCCTTCGACCGTGGGGTCGGTGAGGCCGATCCCACCTAGAGAGGGGGGTAGTGTGGACTGTTCCCAGACCCGGTTTTGCTCAGTAGCACTTGTTGGATAGCGGATACCGCATGAGGCTAAAAGGGTGGCAAGAAGGTCCCGTCCCCACTGCGACCAGCTGCCGTCGGGGAGGAGGTTGAGCGGTGTGGTCCGCGTAAGGTAGGCTACGCGGCGAGAGATGCAGCGCGTGAGGAGTAGCGAGGAGGTCTGTGGATCCATCCGTTCGAGCAGTGGGAGCGGTTTCGCCATCGCCGTGAGCTGTTCCTTAATGAAAGAGGCTGCACCGTCCGTCGTTCCTATGAAACTGCCTAAGAGCCGAACGCCGTCACCAGAAAAGGGAACTCCTAGTGGTAGTTGTACCGAGCTGCCTGGGCGGGTTCTACTCCATGCGGCACACTTTCCGGGATTATGTCGGAGGCCTACTAACTCGAGCTATCCGGTAAAATGAGCGAAAGCTTCGGTTGTCTTGGCGGCGGCACCTAGGAACGTGACATCGTCGGCGTAGGCTAGGCAGAGCACGCGGGGGTAGGCGTCGGCCGTCGCACGTAAGGCTGGGTGTATTCCTGCCGCGAACAGTAGGGGGCCTAAGGGGTCTCCCTGGCGGACAGCTCGTTCGCTTGCCAAGGGTGCGCTGTTGAAACCGGCATCGAGGTAGAGTAGCGACGGGTTGCCATATGTGAGTTGAACCAGCGGCAGTAATGGTTGTAACGCATCGTCCTGTAGAGCTGCTACTATTGCCTGTCGCGAGATACTGTTGAAAGCGTTGGATAGGTCGGTTTGTAGTATCAATGTGTCAGGTCGGGCGTCGATGAAAGCCCGTACGGTGTGGATGATTGCCTCTGCTCCACTTGGGACTGCCACCCCGAATTGCAGCGGTAGGAAAAACTCCCGTGCTGCTTCTCCTATTACTGACAAGGCGGCCTTTGCTGCCAGGCGGGTCAAACATTCGCCTATTGCGATTGGTCGGGCCCCGCCTTCCGGCTTGGCCAGCGCAATTAGGCGGGATGAAGTGAGCAGGTCTGCTACAGGCTGGGGCAGTTTACCCCCCATCATGGTGTTAACCAAGGCGTGAAGATGGGTGCAGACTGATGCGTTCGTGATTGCCGCATCGCGAAGGTGTTCAAAAGTGGTGCCAGATGGCCCTGCACCCACTCCGTTCTCGCATCGACTCAGCAGCTTGTGGAAGTCAGCATATCGGATTGAGAGGCTTCGGGGATCGTCGTGTTGGGGCCACGTCAGCGGCTCGGGTCCCGCTTGTGGGTGTTTCTGTCGGAGTTCATCCAGAATCCCAGGACAGGGCGTGCAGACTGGAGTTGACTCCAGTGCCAACACCGCTCTGCGTAGACTCCCGCGCTTCGCTAGTCCCTCCGCTCTGCTGATGACACCTGTGTCATCGGGTTGGTGTCGTGGCGGTGCTGGGTTATTGACTGCTTTGGTTGCCATTCTCTCTCTCTCTCTCTCTCTCTCTCTCTCTCTCTCTCTCTCTCTCTCTCTCTCTCTCTCTCTCTCTCTCTCTCTCTCTCTCTCTCTCTCTCTCTTTCTCTCCATCTCCCTCGCTCTTCGTCTCTCTCTCCCTTACTTGCTCTTTCCCTCCCTCTCTCTCTCCCTCCCTCTCTCTCTCTCTCCCTTTCTTCCTCTATATCTCCCTCTCTCTCTCTCTCCCTCTCTATTTCTCTCTCTTTCTCTCTCTCCCTCTCTCTCTCCTCTCCCTCATTCCATGTGTGTGTGTTTTTTTTTTTTTTTTTTTTTTTTTTTTTTTTTTTTGCTTCTCTCGGTCCTTTCTTCGTAATTCACCCTTGGCCAATTCTTCCTCCATGGCTGCCTTCCTCAAGAGGGGGCTGGCTTTTGGCTTGCCGTGCCATCCGTCCTCCCTCCTCTTGTTGTCTCTCTTTCTCTCTCCCTTTTTTTTTTTTTTTTTTTTTGATAACAATATTCTTTTATTAATCCACACAAAGGCATACAAGCCTAGGCCTACACCATAACCAGCCCCTACGGCTGCCATTTTGTCCTGGCCCTCATGGCCTATGCTACTCTCCAAGGCTCCTAACCAGCCTATGCACCACCGGTGCATCCACCTACGCCCCCCGGCATAGTGGCAAGGGGCGCCGCCCCATGGGTCCTCTCACACCACGGGTGCGGGACCTTGTGCTCCATGCCCTCTCATAGGGCAATTGTTTGCCATATGGCCAGGCTGGCTGCAACGGAAACACACCCCCTTGAAGCACGGCTCGTGGCAGCCCGCGGGCGGCATGCCTTTGCTTTCCGCTTCGCCATCTTGAGGGGGAAGGCGGCCTCCACGGGCGAAGCCGGTGCGTGCACGCTTGAGGGCCGCCACGTCGGCTACCGCGAGCTTGTAAGAGCGAGACGTGAGCACGCTCTTGGCTTGGTACAGCTGGAACCGATCCGCCGCCTTGAAACCGGCCTCATCCGCCACCAAGAGCACCTCGAAACGTTTGTTGATCAGCGTTTCGACTTGCGCCACGTTGGAGAGCGCGCCCTCGACGTCGCCGTGTTGGAGCTCGAACTCGACGTGCCGCAGGTGAGCTTGAATTGCAGAGAACACCTCCGTCTGGTCACGCACTCCCTTGCGCATGAAGGTAGTAGCTGCGGGTGTAGGGTTGAGGGGGGGGGGGGGGGGGGGGTGCGGGTGCGAGAATGCGACGGCGAGCAAGGTTGTCAGTGTTAACGGGAGTGGAGTGTTGGCCCCGCCCTCGCTTGGGCAACGCCGACGACTTGGTCGGATGTACAGGAGTAGCAGCCGACCGTTCACAGTGGGAGTGCTGCTCGACAGGCTTCGTCGAGCTACAGGGGACCACTGTGGTGTTACTGTCAACCAGGGAGCTCGACAGCTGCAACTGACTGGTCTGGGCGACGGGTGGGCCGTCGACCAGGAGGGGCAGTTTGACCGAGAGGTTGACGGAGCAGTCCGACGACCCGCAGTTCGACCGGGATGTCGACGGAGCAGTCCGTCGACCTGACAAGTGAGCAGCGGTCGACGAGGGGAGCTCGGCGACAACAGCTGACAGTTCTGGTCGACGGAAGGGGTCCGTCGACCAGGGGGTAGCTCGTCGGGAGCTGTCGACGACCAGGGGCACCTGGTGGTCGACCAGAGGGACCCTGTGGTCGACCAAGAAGCACTTGGTGGTCGACTAGAGCACCTGGGGTTGTCCAGGTCGACCGGGTAACCTGCTCGGCGAGTTCTGCGGAG